ACTACCTTTTATATTTTTAAAATTTATTAAGTGTGTTTGATTGGAAGGAAGTGACTGTTGCCTCTGAAGTGACCTAAAAGTTTGCATTTGCCCAGAGTTTGTTTGGTTTTGTCTGTAGTGTCATCCTGTGGTGTTTGGATGCTCTGCTGGCTGTGTGCTGCCTTGTTTGGTAAGATGCCATGGTACCTGCACAAGAAGGGTGGATCCTTCCCACTTTGGAGACTCGAATGAGGGGTACATCAATGTCATTAGCTGGGGGAAAATGGCAGCTCTCTCCTTATCAATTAGATAATAACACTGTCAGGAATGACTGAACCTCAGCAAAGTGTGTTTGCATTTAACATCAAAATTGTGAAATTGCCTCAGTCTGTTAAAAAAATGAAACCATAACATTGACTAATTAACATATATATAAATACATAAAATTACTATTAACATGAAACCACAAATACATAAATTAATTTCAGTTGTGTGTGACAATGAAAAATAAAGTAATACTTGCATGTGTGAAATTTCATAACTCCTGGGATTTACCTTGTCTAACTTCACATGCGTAAAAGTCAGCTCAGATGAGTTCAGCTCCAAAGGATGGGTTAGTCCTACCAGGTATTGTATGTTGGGTTTTTTAAGAAGTTAGGCAAACATCTGACAGGAGTTACTTCAGAATAATTGGCACTGGTTTGGGTTAGAGAGATAGTCTTTTCAGCTACATTTTGGGTAGGAAAATGGTCCAGGACTTGTGGTTTTCTGTTAAGGCAGGAAAACCTGAAAGTAAAAATAGCTAAAAATAAGTTCATTATCCAAGCTTGGAAATACAGAGGAAAATGAGAATCGGGGGAAAGGAAATTAGGCTTGATGATACTGTTGATACTATTTCAGTGATTGAAAATATATTAAAGAAATTCACATGAGTATAGAAAATACTATTCTAGAGTAATCGAGGGAAGAATGGAAGAACTAGTTGAGGGTAATGCAGGGCCTCCTTTATACACTTCCTGCTGTGATATCTTACTTTTTAGCTACTATAAAGAATACCAAAATAATATTTCATTGTGCACAGTCAGCATCATAAATTGGCCAGCAGAATTTCAGACTACTTTGATTTTGCTGGGTTTCATTTGTATATTGTTTTATTATTGTTCTCATGAAACCATTTTAAAAATCAAAAAAAGAAAAAGTCCATGTGGAATACAGAACTTTTGTAGTTAGCACTTTCTCAAGAAGTGGGCCAGTGCAAAAAAAATCATGAAAAGAAAGCAGACTGTTGCATGCTTAGCAGGCAACTTATGGAAAGTGTAAGGTGAGTTTTAACTTTGAAGCAGATTATACTTTTAAGTAAAGCTGTAGCAACTCCTAAAAATATACTGGGATGCATATAAATGTGCTGGCTAAAGATGCAGAGTAATTAAAATGGAAATTTAGACTTTGTGGTATGTTGTTTATTTCCCACAGGGGAAATGTTTTGGAGGAGTTGGTACCCCATTTAGACTTCTGAGTGCCACTGGTTTGGCATACTGAGTGTCATCATTCTGCTTCCACTTCTAATTTAAGCTCCTAGTCTTCCTAGCTTTCCTCTGGTTTAATTACAGACTACAGACTTCCCTGCTGGGTGGCTCTGGACACCAGCTTAACACCAGTAGTCTCCTTATTCTTCCAGAGGGCACTGTCCTTTCTGGTGACTGTCTAGTCTGGTGACTGTCTAGTCTGGTGACTGTCCTTTCTGCTGGTGAAAAAAGGAGCTAAAAAAGGGGGTTGGTGCTTCATGACATTTGGATGATCTGAACAACTCCCCTCTCCTACACTGATCAGTTTTGGTCCTGTAAAATAGCATTTGGGGAGGATGGTGAAGGCTTCTCAGTCAATGCTTTTGTCCTTTTCACAATCTCCTCTCTGCTCAACTTGTTTAGTACAAACTCTCTCTCCACATGCCTTTATCACTGTTTTTGCAAATATCTTCTGTACAGCTTGTGCTTAATAGAACAGTCGTCTTTTATCTCTCTACTTCACTGATTCTCCATCTGTTCTCCATCCAAATCAAACCTGAAAGTTTATCCTCTGCTTTGCATAAATCTCTTCAGCACTTCTTCCAGTGCTTTTATTGCTTTCAATTTTAACTTTACAGCCCTGTGATAGACACTAGATAACTCTGCACTGTGCTGCTCTCCTTAATTATTACCTGAAAACAAATATTTCTTTGTTCAATTTTTGTCCATTTTTGAGTGTATCTATATGATTTAAACCCTTGTTTTCAAGCATATTTACATAACAGTATATTCATAAATGTGGGAGCAGTTCTGTTCTTTAAGAGTATACAATTTTAATTGATGTACAGTATTTTTCTTAAGCCTTCCTATAAAATTTTAAGTGTCCAAGATAAACTGGAATCCTTGCTCGTTACCAGACTATTTGTGCTGGCTGATGATGGCACTTTCAGGTAGAATGGCTCCTACTTAATCTTTGAATCATACAGCAGGGAAAACAATGTCACCAATATATAACAAATCCAGAAATTCATTAAGCATCACGGAACTAAGTTTTTAATTTTATATCTAGTTACTCCCTGAAAACGAACTATTTTGTCATCTGAATATTTGTTCTTGTTTAGCTCCACCAAACAGAACCAAACCAAACTTTGATAGCTGTTCAAAGAATCTCCTTTGATTTCTGATCTCCTCAACACTCAGACTGTTTTATAGAAGAGTAATGCGTGGAAAACTAAAATGGTAATATGACAGAATGACACAGAAATGTCTGGTTATAAGTTCTGGGGGATCTTTACTTCCTGGATAGTTGCTGATCTCTGCTAGTTCAGTTTTCCACCTTCCTAGAGTTCCCCTATAACATTTCCTGTGTTTCATTAGCTTCAATTTGAGCAGACCAAACTATGAGATTAGCACCCATAGAAGATAATATTTGTGAAAAAAAATTATTGTAGTTTTTTCCTTTATTTGTCCCTAAGTAGTCCTCTAAAATAGATCCTCCCATCATTCTAGTTAGTTATAATTAAGTTTTATTTTGCTTGGCCATAACATAAGCATTGTAAATACCCAAGACTTATGAGACACAAAGATGTTATTCAAGGGTATTTGCAGGATTAGATACATCTGCTGTCTTGAAATGTGCTATGTCCTTTAGAAATCTGATCATGTCTTCCCTCACCATGCTATGTCTGTGAATCTTTGTGTTACTTATTTGATTTCAGTGAAGGAAAGCACAACTTACATAAAATTCTTAAAGCAGTAGTAATACAAATACCCATTTGAACACAATTCTAATACAAAGAAGCAGGAAATCCAATTAACCCAATAACTATAAAGTAACTGATGTGTTTAATACTTAAAAAGTCATATTTATTTGTTGTTTAGGATTTTTTTTTTTTTTTACAAACAGGGATGCTTTTTGAAGCTACTAAAAGATATCTTTACAAACAAGGTAGTACAAATATATTCCATGGTATTGCATGTCTGCGGTTATAGGTGATTTATAGGTCATTTAGAATGATGATTCCTTTGTTCCTGGGAGGATACTTGCATGAAGAAGATATTTAATTCAATGGAACAAAACTGCTTACTTATTTCAAGAATTGAAATAATTCCTTATGAGATTCCTGGCTGCATCACTGCAATGGTACTAATGCCAAACCTCCAAAGCCATTAAGGTCCTTCAGAGCATAGCTCTACTGTCTTGATCCAGCCTTTGTATGGGGTGAAGTATTGTAACTAGATTTTAGTATCTGTGCACTCTGAATGGGCTTGTCATAGTTCCCAGGAAGAGAAAAAAGACTCCCCAGGAGTATAAACAAGACCCAAAATGCACAGTATGAAAAATAACTCCTAATAGTAGCTTAAATGTCCTTCCTTGTCTGTTTCCCTGGCTGTACAGGGTGAAGCAGGCACGACTTTCCATGGTTCCAGCAGTATAAAATGCCCTTGCACACATGGTTGCTCGCTCTACTTTATCCTTCTCTTTGCATTTCAATGAGGAAAAGTTAGGGAGCTCATTAAGTTCTTCCCTTATGCCTATTTCTATCACCTTAATCACGACAGTTTCATTCCCATGGACCTGCCTGCCTGACTCTCACCTGTATCTGTATTGTCTTTTGTCTCTCAGGGTGAGGTTCATCTAGTTACAAGCAAATGTTTGTGTTCAAACCAGTCCCCCAGCTTGTGTTTGCAGTCAGTGGAAAGGAACAGGCACTTATTTACTTTTTTAACAGGGACAATTCACCACAATCAGTTTTAGAAATCTCTGTTAGGGCATGAATAATCTGCTGTAGAAGTGCTTTTCTTTAATGACTGATCATGCAGGAGTGTAGATGAAATGTTCAGTGTATACACTTGCATTTAGCCAAATGAAATTTACATTCAACATCTTTAATCAACATCTTTGATCCTCAGTTAATCTTGCAAGATTTTTTCTTTCTCTTCTGTGTGCATGTATAAATCTACATGCTGTGTAAGACAGTGACAGGAGACAGTGATGCAGCCTTTTTAGTATTTGAACATTTTCAGATAAAAATTAGGCATTTCTGAAAATATTGCAGGTTTCCATGGGATCCAGCTGGAACAGAAAAGAGGCTGAGACTTTCTTTCTTTTTCTTTCTTTTTTTTTCCTATCCTGGTTTTCCTTAATGAATATAAAAGCTCTTTAGTTGTATTTTGTTCAGGTTTTATGTTAAACTGTACCACCTGCACCAGCTAGATTTGTTGTTACTGTTCCTCCAAGAACATCCTGACCTCAAAGTAGACAATGGTCTCTTGGCTCCAGCCATTAATAACAGCAGCTGTGGTGAACTTCACTGTAGGTCCAGTCCTGCCAAAGGAATAGTGAGGGTCCAGCCAACCCCAGGATGCAACTATAGTGTAACCATGCCACAGATTTTGCAGTTGCAATACACAGAAAGTGGTGAAGACAGCTTTCTAGTCTCTCAGTGTCTGAGAGCACAGAATGTCTCTGTATTGTAGGAGAAAAGAAGGTCATTGGGGTTCTTTGTTCAGAAATTATGTCACTCTGCTTGGTGGTCGCATTGGGATGCTTTTTTTGTAGGAGTGACCTCCACAGACTTCTGAACTGTCAGTTCCATCCCTTATGATTATCTCTTGTGTGGCTTTGAATATTAATGGCACAAAGCCGTCCTTGTCTGCAGTGAGCACAATCCAAGAAGAGCCTACAAAAATTAAGTAAGAAAAAGAAAATGAGTGCACTGCTGTGGTTACGTAAATGTAGAAGCACGTTTCTAAAAGTCAGTGAGCACACAGGCAGAGCAGGGTTTCTTTTTGTGCACTAAAGCCTTATTACACTAATGACATTAAGGTCTGACAATCCATGCTCAACACACCTTTGTGCAGATGCAGTGAGGAGCTAAATGAAAGGTCTTGCAAGGTTTGAGGCATTTTGTCCCTTATTTATATTAAGTTCAAACACAAGGTGCATCTTTGCTAGTTCTAATGAACTAAAAGTGTCTTCATCTTCTGAAAACCCAGCCAGCCTTTCAGCTGACTTTTGTTCTAATGACATCAACTTCTGCTTAGCCTTTCACTCATCTGCTCTACTCAAATAATGAAGAGATTATAAAAACTGGAAAAGTTGCCAGCAAAAATGATTGGCTGTACTTGCTCTAGAAAGGAGTAGGGGTCTCCATCTCATTACCATCAAGCCAAGATTGTTCCATGTATTTTCAGATTCATATAGCAAATAGAATAAAGTTACACCTTGAAGATGATTTACAAAAGCTGCTACAGTAAAATTTCTTGTCTTTTAATTATTTATAGAATCTTCTCCTAAAGAGAATGAACAAAATATGGATGACATTTTTAATCCTTTTTTTCAGAAAAAAAAAGGGATGAGATTTAAAAACCAAAATACTTCAAAACATTTTAGGTTCTCTATCTGTATTGCATAGAAGAAAATAGACTTCCACCCACTTTTTTTTTTTTTTTTTTTTACTTTTCTTAGCAAATTGGCTTAAAAATGAAGCTGTATTTATTTTCTTTAGTGATTCATCTGGCTTTCTTTCTTGCTGGATATTGCAGCTCTCGTAGAAAAAAGTGAATTCTCTATTTTTTTCCAGTTTGACACTGTATGGAAAAAAAAAATCTGTGGCAACTTAAAACCATTGGGGGAGCCTTTATATGACACAATTTCCTTAGAGCGTGTGATTCTGTCATTATTGAGCAGGGGCATTAGCTGGGATATGAGGGAAAGAAGACCCTGTTAGGTTCTGTGTTGGGATTTTAGATTTTGGGATATAAAACTGTTTTTTAAATGGTATATGAAAAAAGGAACTGTAGAAAGTCCAAATGAACCATCCTTATTTTTGTCAGTCATAACAAAGCATGCTCCTGGAGAAGGTAAATCTCCCCTTCTTTAACCACTAACAAAGCACTTTTTCAGGCTGGTTGTATGTTGTCATGTCACCTGTTACATCATAAGAAGATTGTCTTTCCAAACCATGGATCTTTAATCTTCTGCTCTTAATACTTTCTTTCTAAATCTGAACAGACTTCAGATTCTGTGAGCAGTGGCCCTGAAAGTGGAATTTCTATGGTCCAAATGGATATTCCATTGTTGACCAAATTGATGAAGCATACTTTTGTGTCAGACTCTTGAAATTATTTTCATCCATTGAAATGCTGGAAATTCTCAGTGCCATTGATAACACTTGCTTGGAGGCATATCCCATGGAATAACCATAGTGTGTAGAGTGTAGTACTCTTTTACTGTGAACAATTATTATGATGATATGCCAAAAAGAGAGACTCCTGTGTGCTGCTACCAGGAGCACTACACAACAGACTCCATTTAGCATAGGTAATGGTATTACAGTCCTGGGCTTAAAGGGCAAACAATGAGGCCGAGCTCATTGCTCTTTTAACTCTGATGATCTTAACAGCATTGCTGTGGACATGAATTTGACATACAGTTGTGAAGCTTTTCCCTCCAATCTATTACTGCTTAAGTGTTTACTCATTGTAATAAATGCCAGGCTGTCATTATAATACAAGCATGCTCTTCATTACATACCCTTTAATTATGTAGTATTAAAGGATGGGAGTGATATTTTTAAACTTCACATTTAATATTTATGTCGTGTGTCAAAAGAAACTTTTAGGAATATAAGCAAGTACCATCTAGAGTTGAATAAAGAGCTACACAACTGCTTCTGCTCCAAACCTTATAATTTTGCAGGATTTTGGTGAGTTTTAGAAAGATTGTTTCAGTTTTTGTTTTTGCTGAAAGCGTACAGACTCAATATCAGAAAATCCGAGCAGAAAGAGGGACATATTAGGATGATTCTGAGACATTATCTTTTTGATATCTCTGAAGTCTAATACATAAATTTGAGGAAAGGTGTTCTGCTAATTAAATATTCAACTGCTCTGTAGAGCTGAAAATTGGTTTTCTCAGTTCCCTTGTTTATTTTGGGCACTTCTTTCCAAAATCAAGAGCTGGAAATGCAGGCCAAAAATGGGCTCCTCCTTGCCCTGCAGCTCTGCATCATGTTGCTGCAGAAGCCTGCTGGGAAATAGCTCAGGTCTCAACAGCAGGTAGAGTTTTTTCATATGTGTGCTTCCACTACACTGCACAGTCAAGGAAGATTCCTGACAAAAATATGAAACATGCATGTCCTTGTCTTCTGGAACAACCTCAGAAAGAGGATCATGGTAGTCTGTGATGAGAAAAGCCATCAGAAGCATTATAGTGAAATGGCTAAGAAATGGCAGTTTGTGTGTTGCTGAGAGGTGTCACACAGGAACAGACAGGGACAAAGCACTTCAGAGGCCAGTCTGGGGCCAGGGTTCCCCTTTTACACCTGTCCTTATGAGTTAATCAGTGGTGGGTGGTAAAAATGGGAGATTGGCAAATAGGAACACTGAGCTTCATTTTTTATCTTACATTAAAATAATCCCAAATGCTACTTTATATATATATATATATATATATATATATATATATGTATGTATGTATATAATATTCTGAGAGTGAATTTTTGAATTTTTCTCCAACCTATTCTCTGTTGTCAGGGCTGAGACATGCTAGTAAGGATGGATGAAGCAAAATGCCAAAAGGTTTTAGGAAAGCAATTCTACTATTCTCCTTCCAGGTAACACAGTGTACTGATTATTTTCTCAGCCTTCCTTTGCAGAGGCACCTAACATATTACTCTGCTAATAGGTAGTTTTGCAGTTACTTAGCATTTAAATTATTTCAAGAGTCTCTGCTGTATTTCAGACAAGGGAAAACACACACTTGCCAAAAGAAGTTAGTTAGCTCAGTTTACTAAAGTCTGGGGTAATTATTCTGTCACAAATGCTTCTTTTATATGCTAAAAATCTCAGGTGAAACCAGATAGCAGAAATAAAAAGAACGTACCGTGTTTCATTTCAATAACAGGCAGATCAAACAGCTGCTGGACTAAACTCAAATGGATCTTGCCATCACAGAGGAGAACATCTTTTGTTTCTTCAGTAACTGATCCATTTGAAAAGCTTTTCTTCATATCCATGTATATAAAAGAAAAGATCTAGTTAATGGCTTAGACATTGAGCCCGAGTACTCATAACCATTCTTCTGCTGTTACTCCTTTCAGTTCTTTAGTCATTTTGCCTTTTCTTTGTCTGTCTTTCCGACAGTTTATAGATGACATCATCATGCAGGACCGTTCTAAGCACAATCTCATAGCCCCATGTGAGGAGGATAAAAATGCCTCTTTGGTTTTTGCTTTGTGAGCTCCTGCAGCTCAAAGCTGCCTCAGCCCTGTACATGTATTGTCCTGGGCTGGGCATCTGTGTGTCTGTGGGGCCTCCCTGCCTGAAGCCAGTTCAGTGGAAGGGAATGTATCATACCTGGAATAATGTTCCAGATGCTGCCAGAGTAAATGAGCACTCTGCTCAGTTTCAGCAGAGTGTGTGTGGGTGGGTTTGAGAGACATTGGGCAGCTATTCCACCCTGGCAAAATAACCTCAGGGTTCTTTTGGCACAGGGAGTATTGCAGAGAGACTGAACCTAGCAACAGTTTCTGAAAAGCTGTCACATCAAGGAAGCTTGGGAATCCTGTGACTTGCATTGAGAGAGAGGGAATGTATGGATTTACAGCCTTGGAATTTGCTCTGATATTCACTGAAAGAACACACTTGAATATAAAGGTGGCTTGTTTGTGCTTTATGAAATTTAGGTGGCCCTAAGAATCAACATCTTTGTGTTTCATCTTTCTAGTTACTGCAGGGTGCAAGGACAAAAAAATTGTAGAGCTACTATGGTCATGGAGTGGATATATATTTGAACTTACATTTCCCTATCTGCTATAATTTAAAAGTCCTTTTAACACTGAAAATTTTCCAATGACTAAATGTTATTATGAAATAGATGTGGATGGGACATTTTCTTCTAACTAATATTGCTAAATAATATTTCTGTACTTTGTCCTGTCATTTTATTCTTTCCATGCTTTCTCCCTGTGTAGTTCCATGTGTTATGTTTTGCTTGTTTCTTTTTCTTTGGCATCTTTATGTTTGCAATACCCCCAGATTTTACATATTTGTTATGAATGGACAGTCTATTTACCCAATTTCATAGACCCCTCTGTTTCATACATTCAAAAGGGATCCAAGGTAATATTTCAGAATGGATTGATGGGATCTCATCTATCCTAACTCCTGTTCTAGTCCTACTCTGTCTGTGTCTACTTCACACCCTTGAATTTTTCTTGCTAATGTAAAACTTATGGTTGAATGAATTCACAACTGCATCTTCAATTTGTAACCTAACCTCTGACTAAATAAATGTCTCTTGTAATGCTTGTCTTCATTTCTAATTGTGCTGTCTTTTCACAGTTGCTCTCTGTGAATGTGTGCTTTTTTGCTGTGTAACAACCTTTCTAAATCAATCTCTTTCACTTTTCTGTACACAGTGTCTGTGCTGTCATGCAACTGCATTGAATTCTGTAAATCAGAATGTCTGCTGACTGTTGCAAATGTCCTTTCTCCCCCTCTGCTATTATTTGCTCATGCAGATAGTCTATGGCTGATTTTTATTTATTTATTTATTTATTTATTTATTTATTTATTTATTTATCTATTTTTTATTTATTGTGAGTGATTTTATTAATAAAAACCATAAAAAATATCTTTCCATTAAATATGTGAACTTTCCAACTTTCAAATGTCTTCTCATCTTTTTTCCACATTCAGAATAACCAGAAATTTGTTGGTGCATAATTAATAAAGGGTATACCTAAGGAATACATCAAAGAAGTATCATTGTCTTAGTCATAAACCTATAGCAGCTTTTTGTTACAGCTGCAACTATATAAGAAAAGTTCTTTGTAATTTTTAAGTATTTCCAAGTTATGTAGTACTTGGAAATTTACCAAAAACTTGGTATTTCCAAATTATGTAGTACTGTATTCTATTGAACCTAAACACACCTGAAACTCAATGGGCTGAATGTTCAGCAGTGAGTTTGTGCTTTTATAGGCATTGCAAAGGTGCTCTTTGCCTGTGCAGGTATTTGTGCAAAGCTTTGTCATTGCTGCAGTTTATGGACTAGCACATCTAACAACTATTTCATTTTCCTGAGTTCAGGTTGGAATAACAGAGTTTATTCAAACTGGAACTTCAGTTCATGAATTATAGAAAAAAATGGACTGTACATGAGACAAGCTCATTGACTTGACCCAAGGGGTCCATTTTTCACATAGATATGCTTCAATTTAAGAATTATCAGAAAATAATCTAGCTCTGTCTGTCTTGACTTGAAATCAGTTGAATGGAAATGTATACTCAAGATGATTTTGTTCTAGTTTGTTTCCTATATAGCATTGCACATTATTATTGGAACAGCCATTGGAAGTGGAGGACATTTTTGTATACACAAAACTGCACAACACCTATTTTTTATCCGAAACAGTTTTTCAAGGACAGACCTGAAAGATCAAGTCTCAGTTGTTTGTCTTTCATCACTTGTCAGTGTTCATATGAGCTATTTTCTCTGTTACATGCTTCTGTTTGTAATGATAAACATAATCATCTTATGCATTTATTTTTGACTTTTTACAAATTCTGTCAGGTCAAGAATCTTTCTCTGTTATAATCTTCTAATTATTTAGCCTTTTTGCTTAATGCTTAGTTTAAGTGGTGATAACGTGCCTTCTCTTGGAGGAATGTGTTCACAGATGTCATATCACAGATTAACTGATTTAAACCTGTACCTTCTTGTGAGGCAGGTAACTCTTAGTATCCCCTTTTTATAGATGATCATACCATTACACAGGGAGCTTAAGAGATTTAGTCAAGGTCATGGAAGTAATTTGTAACAGAGTTAGAGGTACAACTAAAAGCTTGCCTTGGTGCCATAACCCAAAGACAATTTTCTAGCCAAATCTAGATTTAGTCCACCTCTTCCCAAAATCCATGTCTGTTTTTGCTACCTTGTTATTTATCTCAATAGTAATCAGAGGACTTGAAATTCCCAGATTAAAATCCCTTGTGTTAGTTGATTTATCCTAGAACAAAGTTTATTGGTAGACAAAGAACATGTTAATAACAGAAGAAACAAATATATTTCCACATACATTAGTTGTATATTTTCAGATTAAGTTTCTTTAGCCAACTTCCTGTAGTATGTCAAGTGCAACTCTTCTTCAACAAAAACCCAGCAAAAAGAAATGATCGAGAATTGTTTTCCCTCACCCATGTCAGCCTGCCCAGATCAGATTTTACATCCTATTAAGGGTGTTCTGGGCAGCAGCCAGCCAGTCACAGCAGTGCCAAGCTGTTTTTCAAAACTCATTTCAGATTGCAGATATGTAGGAGAAAAGCATCATTTACTAAGGCAAAAGGATTCCTGGATGAGATGTTATATACCTCACGTATTTGCAGTTTTCATACTGCACAATAAGTGAACATGCCTTCTCTCCCTTTTTTGAACCCCACTGAGCAGTCAGCTGGAGCTGGTTCTGCCTCTTGACCTTTTCTTCATTTTTCTTGTATTTCCTAATGCACTGCCTACACTCTCCTGCATGCTGAGATCATCTTAACGAACTTAAATTTAACAACTGATGAACCAGTGAGGTAAATGAGAATATGCTACCACTCAGAATTGGTTTTATTGATGCTGGGTTAGCGATCAGTTGAAGTCTCAATGTGTTCTTCTTGCCCATGGATGTCTAGGAATGTAAAATGTTTTTCAGATGAGACCTGCCAGCTGTGTGCCCAGTGCTCATCACCTGCTGAAGGATATGCCTCACTGATGTGCCCACACACTGCCTTTGTTCTTTTCGTAACAGTACTGTATTTTAAATTCACAGTCATCTTGTAGTCAAATAACATGTACAGAAGCAGAAATTTCATCTCTTAATCCTGGAATATATTACTATGCACTTTATATTAGTTCATTTCATTAATTTCAATCCTTTTTTAAAATTTATTCTAGATGTTAAATAATAGTCATCCATTTACAAGTGTGAAATCCTGATCCTTTACTGAGAATATTACTGACTTTATGTCATATGCAGATTTTATAAGCATAACTCAGCAAATCGTTAATGAAACTTTTAGATGACACTGAAAATCCATCATGAGAAAATCCACCAGTATTTTTTTCCATTTTCTTCTATACTGGTATAACTATTACTATCTCCATTGCAGCTAATTCCTTAACCATCTTATTTTTCTTCTATTAATCCCTACTCTCTGCTGTTGAACAAATAATTTCCCCTGTGGCATATTTCAAGTACTGTACTGAATTACAGGTATTTTAAATATTCTTCATCTCCTTTGTGTTAATAATCTGTTGTTTTATAAGGGAAAGGTATCAGGTTAGCACATGCATTGTACAGTGATTAGTGCTGTAGTTGTCTAGCATTCTGTTTTCCTTCTTCTACACCCTTGATTTCAACTATGTTGTGCTCCACTGGTGATTTCAGGTTTGATACCTTAGTACCCATTAGTCAGGTTGCTTTTACCTTGCCCCCATATTCATTGTGCAGGGTGAGTAAAAGCTAGTAGATTAGCTAGATGTGGGAGTTCTGTCCCAGAACACAATGGAAAGACACTTAAACAGCTAAGGAAGAGAGCATTGAAGAGGAAGGAGAATTATGATTTACATTCTCACTGTGCCTCATGCAGCATTGCCACAGGTGGTGTTCATAAGGATTGACAGCTTGCACTGCTCCCCTTCCCTGTCATTATTTCTACTGTTGCTGTGATTCCTGCCTGCTTTTTGGTAGATTCTGTTTTTATTGTGGTGGAGATATTGATATCTTTCCTTTCCTTACCCTTATGTGGGACATTCCAATTGCAACCTTAATTAACCTGGCAGAGAAGCATAAGCCTGTAAAATGTTTATGCTGGAAGAGACCTGAGGTGCTCAGAGGTGCTTAAATCCCAGTGCAGTTTGCATTTATAGGGCACATCAGCATTCCTGGTGACACAATGCTGGGATTTCTCTCCTCTTGGCTCTCTGCAGCTACTGTTTCAGGTGTATTGTCATCTAAGATACATCTTTTGTGCTTCCATGATATTTATGTGTGATCTCTACTTTCTTTGTGCAGTATGATAACTTGGCTCTATTTTTGACATTGTGTGTTCCTTTCCTTTTGCACCTGTGCATCCAACAAACAAATCATCTGCTTTAACAAAAGGAATTGTGTCTCCTCTACAGACCCTGCTTGTCTGCTATTGATCAGTTTCAGAACGCTGTTGACAGAATTTGTTAATAACAAATTCCCCAACCTTTGCTCAAAATGTTATCCATGCATTAATCACACAAATTCCTCAACCTTTGCTCAAAATGTTATCCATGCATTAATCACACTTTCTCTTGAATACTGCAGGTCTTTCTTTTACAGTCATCCTAAATCTCTTGTTTCTAAATTTCAGGATAGCTGACTAGTTTCTTACTCCAGGGAGCAGTCATATCAGCTTCCTCTTCCATCATTTTCATGACTTACTTTCTATTGCTCAACCCAAGTCAAAATTGCCCTTTGGATTTCAGAAGGGTTCATGGTCTTATTACAGCTCATCATTTCAGCCTGGTCTTTGCTCATTTTTTTTGTGCCCCCCTTATATTCCCCTTCTTTACATCATGTATTTCTATCAGAGCTTTACTGCCATATGTTTGGATCCTTTCTGTTCATCTCCCAGATATGCGTAAAAAAATTATAACACCCACGTTTATTTTGTAGCTGACCTTTGTAGCTGGCAATAAAGCTTCCCATAGCAAATTGTATGAAGATACTATAAAAGTACAGATTGACTTATGTACAATTACTGGTCTGTGCTAAGAAAAGAAAGTAATTGTGACTAATTGCTGAAAAGATATTATTTCCTATTTAATTATGCAATATATTCTATCAGTGATATAAACTTTTGACATCATACTGCTTGTGAACAAAATGTAGGAGTTTAAAGATGTTCTTCAGATTAAGATGAATGTTATTCCTCCTGGAGAGGTTTGCCTAAATGCCTTTAATTTGAGATCCAGATTGGCTTTATTTCCACTGTAATTAGCTTCTGAATGAGACTAGTTTAAATATTCTGCAGCTGTTTCTTTTCTGGGGGAAAGGGATCGTATAAGTATCTTTTTGCAAAGCGAAACAGAAAAAAATCTGTGACAGATCCTCTTTTCTTTTTTTTTCTTTTTAAATAATGTCTTCTTATTGCATTTGTCTGTCTGCCCTCCCACATTCCCCTGAATCACAAACCTGCCTGTGATGAAAGAGCAATAATATTTGCTTTCCAGGGTTGAATGATCAAGTTACCTCTGGTGGCTGAATGCTATTACAAAAGTGATAGTGCAGTGACATTTCCAAAGTGTGAATGATCATGGTTTTCTTCTATGGCTATGGGCTACAAAGAATACAGATTCTGGTAGCACTGCATAGATGTGACTTCAGAGGAGTTACAGGCAGACTTGCACTAACAGTATAAACAAAGGTTATGAAAGACTGTTAAATGAGCAAACATTATGAATTATTAAGTAATAAATGTTTCTGTTTTTTTAGTTTCCTAAGCAGAACAGGAAGTACACATAAATATGTCAATAACAATTCTGCACAAGTGTTCATAATTGCTCATTAATTATTGCTACATTTTTAACCATTATGTTTTAAACTTTAATTTTATTTTCTAAATGTATAAATATGGTTATGCAGTTCTGATAATTATATTCTTTAGTGCAATAGACTTCTCAATCAAGACTGAGCCTCTGCTGTGCTGGGGATTATAGAGACACTTAAGACATGCACTTGGCACAAAGAGCTGGAAGATAATGGGCATATTATTGACTGGACTGCAGTGTTCCTAAAGCTTAGAAAGTTTTCCACTGGCTGATACTTATATCATAAGGCAATAAAGTTATTTCCTGACTTTCTGCTCTGTGAACACAGAGTCTGGCTGGAGCTCACAGCCCAGCTGGTCTCTGAGCTCACAGTGTACTAAACAACTCCTGAAGGAGGAACAAGGTTCAGATGTCTGAATAGAAACTAATCAAAACAACTATTTCTCTGAAAATTATTAGCTGCCTATGAAGCAAATATTTCCCTGTCTGTCTGTAGACCTTTCTGCCAAGTCTACTTTTCATTATTTTTTGGCATCATGCTGTGATCCTGTTAGATTTCAGAAGAGGGGCTGAACTATACAAGGCATTAGTGGAGACTTCGCCAGGAAAGCTGTGTGTGGAAAGGCATTAGTGGCACTTTTTTGAGTCATTGTAATGTGGTGCTAGCAGTGCTTGCTGCTGGCTTAATGTGAAACTAACCTATTCAGATAAATAAGTATTCCTTTCTAAACATAGTTTTTCTAGCAGTATTTTAGAAGCACTTATTTTTTTTGTTGTTCTTTCCAAAGAAAAATAGCAGGTTAACTAATTCTTACTTCTAGTGCAAGCACGTGCACAGCAACTTCAGATCTTAGATTAATGTTATGTGTCACAAATAAAACTTCTCTTGGGAAAGGTTAATCCAATTGACTCCTAGAAACAGGGCTGCTTGCTAAATAAATAAGTTGATTTATGTTAAGAAATCAAAATTAATTTGAACATACTGGAGAACAGAAGGGCTTGCTTCTTGGCCAATAAAATCCTGAATTATTTAAAATAGACATGCTACTTTTCCACCAGAATTTGTATAATGTGTTCAAGTTAAATTATTGACTAATTCAGATCGAAAGCTTTGCTTTTATCCAGAAAACCCAACACACCCGAATCTGTTTAAATGCCAAGTAAACACTTGCTAGAAAGTAATGACCATGATTGAATTGAGTCACCATTCCCTTAATGGCTTTTTAAGGAGGGGTACTTAGATGTCTACATAGATTCCTTTAAAGTTAAAGGAAGTAAAATTTGCTTCAGCATCATCACAATGCAGTGTATTATGTTGACATAATGCTGCTTATGTTGCAGTAGATAAGAATGCATTTATAATTGGCATTTACATCCTGAAAGTGATACCAGTTTTATCACTACTATCAACATGTTCAAAAATCTGATCAGTATAATGTTAGTATTCCTGTGAATACTATTAAAAATAGTAGATAGAAATAATTACCCAACCTACATTCCTTAGTTGAAATTCTTATTGAAGCCAGGAGGAAATTTGCCAAAACAAGGGTAATAGGAGCATGGTGGTTTGAAATTCTTATATTTATCTGATGAAATCATAATTACATATTGATGGATTAGAAGGTTTTTGTTTGTTTGAGGGTAGTTTTTTTAATATTTTAAGTGGTTATGTGCTTTACAAATTGAGTACATCTTATTTTGCAAAGAATAGTGTTGAGAAATCAAAGCAGAAATAAGCCAAATTCATGTCATATCCATTTAAATTTTCCATAAATTGAGATTCAATACTTTGTTTCAGTCTTCCTGTGAATCTGGCTATCTTCAGACTTTGTATTTGAGCTCAGGTTTAAATTTATTAGATTTCTGGTGAGCTACTGTAGCCTCCCATTCATCGGCTTATCTCTGCACTAAACTAAAATATAAGCCTTTTGTAGATTAACAAGTCTGGCTCTGTTCTCTCTGACAGATGCACACAAAATCAGCCACTGTCCAAGACAATTGTGCATGATCAAAGAATAAACAGACAAATCTCCCATGTTAAGTATCCTGTAAACTATACACATCATCCTGAGTTGTCATTCCAATGACAAATTATAATTCCATTTTAAATTAAGCTTGACTCCAAACCAAGGTTACATTTCTTATGGGTTGATAAGAATAAACTGCATCCACTTGATTTAAAGCTAAATAAATGCAAGATTGTTTAAAAGTTTGGTTACCTATCACAGTATTTGTAAGCTGACAAAAAGTTACCTGGTAGGTGACATGCACGACAGGCGGTTCCTGGGAACACGGGTAGGCTAAAGAAATCCTCCTGCCATTCCTAGCCAAGTCTGTTATTTCAGAAAGGCTCAGCTGTAACTCATTGAAACTGCCACAAAGTCTCTCTAAATTTCTAGATATGTGACTCATTCCCCTTTCACTTGGCAAATTGTTGTTTTTAGGAGAATTCGATGCTTCTTGGATCACATTGAACTGCACTTTAGGGGATGTTGGTCTGCTGGAAATCCTGCTGGGTGATCCAAAACCACGAAGAGACACTGAGCGATTCATAGGTTCAGCATCCAATGTTTCCAAGGCCACCGAGGAGTCACCTGGGAGCCTTTTTTCATCCAGGTCACTCACACTTGATGAAGAGCTCTGCTCATAACTAGGGCTCTTTACTTCTTCAATGAGTCTTCTCCTGCCACTTGGAGACTGAATAACTGTGCTTCTTGGTATTAACAACTCCCTGCTTTGAGGTTGGTCTTCTGTGGCAAGGTTCTCAAAGAATTTTCTTCTCCCAGGTATATTAACAGAGGATTCAAAGTTATAAAACATATTCTGCTTAGTCTCAGGCAATGCTGAAGAATTTTCTTCCAGCATCAATTCTTTGACCATAAGACGCATTACGTACCTGTCTGAACTTGAAGATGGAATGAGATTAGAATCAGGGAACCTCTGCTTGCCAATCAGAATCAATAAGAGTTTATCTGTTAAAAAGCATAGGCCCTTTGGTCTTTCATTTTTTTCCAGCTGGATTTGTTGAATGTGAGGCATGGAGGAAGAGGTTACTGAATACACCAGAACAATATTAGAAGTATTAGAGGCTACTGCCACAATCTGAGCTCTAAGATCAAAAGCCATTATATCAGGAACCAAAATACCTGGGATGCTGACTTTTCTGGTGGTTGTTACCTTCCTCTCAAAAGTCACCAAGATCAAGTGAGAAGAATCTTGACCATTTGTTGCTGCAGAGTCTTTGCGTTTCAGAGTAATGAGAGGACTGGGATCAGACCGACGGTGGTTTGCAAGGATATGGGTCAAATCCACAGGACCTGATGAAGAAGAGGCAACTGAATCAACACCTGATCTATCTGAATCTATGGACTTTCTTCGTGTGTCCATGGAGTATTCCTCGTCACCAAGCACCAAAGCAGACTGTGAGATTAAAGAACCAGCTTCTGTACCAGAGGGCACATCAAATGCAATGCCTGCATTGATACCACAGATGTTATCTAAAGGAAGCTCAGTAGCTACAGCAATTTGGAAATCCAGAGTGGCTTCTATAGCGCAGATATAACCTCCCACATCAAAAACTGGGCAAAAGGAGCAGATATTTAGAGTTTTCTGAGCATTATCCCATATGTAGGAGTGCAGGGTACTGCCTATAGCAACTACTAAACGATTACCATCCTTAGTCCAGCAAGCACAGTGGATGAGTCCGCTGCTTTTGATCTCTGCCTTAACCCGCGTATTGTCAGTACGAACGGCGTGCAGGACTGAAGCATCTCTTTTTGTAAGCACAGCCAGGACCTCCTTCTTAGGATGCCAGACACAGCCCTGAGAAAGCAGTGGAAATGGCTCACCAACCTCACAAGTCTGAGAAATCAAGGGCTTTTTCTTCTCTGCACTGCTGTAGACCAGCTGCCAAATGCTTACGTGCTTTTTGTGCTGAACGGCGAGCAGAGCTGGGATGTCTGTAGAGCAATATGGGCCCCAGTAAAGCCCATGCACATGTTCAAATTGACCAAGAATGTTTGAGTCTCCAAACTTCAGCTCTCCATTTTGATAGTATAAAGTAGTCAGTATCACTTGCTTCCCATCTGTCCAGGCAATTCCATGCACAGGGTGGATAGCTTGATATAAAGCATTGAGGCCGGTTCTCAGCAGCTTTGCCTTTCCCAAATCCATCTTTTAGGCTTTCTTTCTAATGAGGATAGTTCCAAAATAGAGAATCCATGGAATTCACTTGCAGATCACCATGAGAAAGTTTTTTTCTCATGCCTCCTTCCCTTCCTTTCCAGCATCAAGCTGCTAATTTTCTGCTAATAATCCAAGAGTCTATATTGTGAACTCCTTCTCAGGAGGCCTGCAGCTGCTCTTCTAAGTATAAATCCATGTCAAAGCTGCTTTGGCTATGTCTTTTCCTGGGAGGAGTTATCATCTTCATGTGATTGCTAACAAGGTTTAACCAATTACTTTGCGTTTTCGTAGAAGGCTATTTTTAACTCTTCAGTGCTGGGAATATATTTAAAAATAACACTAATACCTTGACCTTCAGTGAATGAAGGTCTTTACCAAAGAGAGAGATCATATACTGGTAAGCCTAAGTATTAAGCTACAGCCTGAAATAATGACCTGACACTTCTTTCAGCCAGCCTTTGAGGATGAAAGAAGATTTAAACATAACTGAGAACTGTACAAGGCAGATTGCAATCTGTGATGGGCAGCATCTTTCAAAGAGACAAGATCTGAAATGGCTATGAAAGGAAAGTAGAAATGGGAAATCATGCTCTGTTCTATTAGTAGTTACAAGAGAACAGAGGAAGGTGACATGAAAAAAAAAAACAAACACCCAAACTAAAAAGCCCCAAATACATAGCCTAGAAGCAAAGAGAGCTGATTAGTGTTTAGTGTTCATTTTACTGGGACATACTTCCTAGCCACAAATATATATTGATTTTTTTCTTGGTCATCCCAGCCACTTGTATCTAAGGGCTGTTCCCTCATTATACAGACAGAATGCAGAGAGGAATCCAAAAATTTCCTATTTCTCCTAACCCTGCATTTTCCCTGCATATGTGTAACATAACATCATGCAAGATCCTTGAGTTGTCAAAGACCAAAAGACCCAACCAATAAATTGCTGTAGCACAGTGGGGCTGTGGGAGGATACAGCAGTTTGGGTGGACTGTGTTGTTTCAGGCCCAGACCTGGGCCAGATGGACTGGCTTGGGTGTCTCCATCCTTCCCTCCTCAGCACAGCCCTCTCTGGGGTTAGCTTGGACAGTGTGTGTGTATGGCTGAGCATAAAATAGTCAGGGTGGGATTAATTAACTTAAATATAAGCAACCATTACTATTTTCAGCTCCCCAGGATATCTCAGACAGCCACACTGATCTGGCAGGTACAACACAGGACTTAGAGAAGAGTAGTGCCATTCTGGGGTGGCAGCTGGCAACAAAGAGATGATCCCCAGATAGTCCCTGGGCTGCCTAAGATGGCATTAGAAGCTTATAAGCAGGTAAGTGAATCCCGTCATCAGCATCTTTCTGTAATTCTTGTTTTGCCAGTGCATTTCCTTTCAGCTTCCATGTAACTTGTGTCTCTTTCTTTGTAAATTAACAAAAAGGGAATAAACTAAACCTGGGAAAAGGTTTACACGCTATCAATGTAATCACTGTGGTTAAAGATGTAAGGCTTAACAATACACATTCTGCATCCTTAACTCATTTATACATCATATATATACATTATATATCATATATATATACAATACATAATATTGTATATTACCACCTGAGGAAAAGGTGGTTGAAGGCAGTTGGACCTCTGTTGTAAGAATTTTTAATACCCTTTTTCCAGGTGTATTTACTGAGGATGGGTATTACCACTAAAGAACTCCCAAATTGGTGTAATAATATCACATGCTCATTCCCAGCTACTTTTTTTTGGTATGAATTATTTAGTGAAGACTACATTCAAAATAAAAACTTTTTTATATTCTTCAAGAACAAGCCAGCAAGGATGACTGGAATAGGTAAAAGTTAAAAAGCTAAATATACAGGTTAGAAGATTCTTTTTTACGCAAGACTCGTAAATTCTTTGGTCTCTCTCTGTGCCTGGGGTGAAACCATGATTTTTAATGATTTTACCTTACCCTTTTGAGGCTCGAATGCCACTCTGCCATACCTGTTTCACTAGGAGTTCTGACAACTTCCTCCAAGTTGTAGCAGGATTATTGGTTTTTTTCTATATTAGTGAAAGTTTCTTACTCATAGCAGTTCTAATGAAGAGATTGCATTAAAATACAATCCCAGCAGCTCCATAAATTGACAGTCTGTATAATATATATTTATTTTACTTTACAATATTAGTCTTTCACTGCTTTGTTGTCTTCTGGGTGTATTTTGCTGAAACTGATAAAGCTATTCTTTGGCACAGTATCTCATCTATATTCTGCACCACTGTGCTTTTATTATCCTAACAAAACTGTGTCACAGCTGGATTCTAGCCACCTTAAATGTGGTTTGGATGCAGAAACTTCTGCCTCAGTGTGACTGAAATGCTCAGATGTTTTGCTAGGGATAATGTGTATTTCTGCCAGCTATGCTGGCATCTTGAGAGCATGGAATGATTACTTGTGTGGAAGATTGGACTTGATTTGCTGATTTTTTATTTTTTTTTTTAATTTCATCATCTTGTAAAGCATTTGCTCTTCAGCAGTGTCTGTCACATTATCGGAGGATAATACAGGGCTGAAAATGTGAGGTTTGCTGGTAAGTTTGTCAGAATCAACCTCAATTTTGGAATTCAGGTCATCTCACAAACACTGAACTCTTGAAAAATATTTGCAGCAGAGCTACAGTGAGATTTTCATCCATCTCTAAAGGCTTTAGGAAATAGGACTTCATCTGAAGTCATACTTATGACACACATATGAAGACATACTTCATCTGAAACATACTTATTTCTAATTAATTATCTGAGATACACAGATACAAAGATGGCAACATCCACAAAGTTCCACTGGCATGGTAGTGAGCTGGGGAGTCAAGTAAGCAACAATTTGCTGTGGCCTTTTCAAAATTCTCTAATTCTCAGTGTTTGTTGAAATCTGCAGGGTTTAGACGCCCTGCAAGCTCTATTCTGTAGCAACTGAGTTGGAACTCCAGATTCTATTTGGGATAACATTTGAGAATCTCAAGGAGAATTTCCTCTTGTGGTTCTGGTGAGAGGCAATAATGTGGGCAAGGAACTTCTGTGAGAACAGAATCCTCCGGTACCCCCATAAACACCACGTATGAGAAAATGAATTTGAGATAAGGTTATCGTTCAGATAATATCTTTTTAAAAACTCTAAATAATGGAAAACTTGTAAAATATACAGTGGGGAATAAAGCCTAAGTTATGCCATGATTATGGATTTGAGCAAGTTGTACTAGGGATCAAAGAAGGCACAAAGTGAGTAAAAGATACATTGAACTTTTGTTTGGAAAAACCTCATTTTTTAAAAACAGGATTTAAAAAGAGTGGAAAAACAAGTTGCCTTCATTCAATTATCATATTTTTCTGAAAAAAATATAATTAATATTTTTCCATCACCTTGGCATGCACAGATCTCTGTAGCACACACTCAAAATAAAGGCCTGTAATTGAAAACTGTCCTGGAAACACCACAGTTAGAAATCTGAGACACTTCAGTGAGCAACCACAGTCTTTACACCTACAATAAGCTAGATTCTGATCTATTAGCATCTCTGAGCCTCTGATTAGCTCTGGTGTAACTGAGATCAGAATGTGACCTTTGGCTTAAACAAGGTGTTTCACTGGTGGCACCTTGGCTGGCTCTCTCCTGCAGAGTAATTCCAGCCAGCCAGTCCTTGGTGCTTTGGAGGAGATGGTTTTTAGAAGTACATAAATTGAACACTGAGTTGCACATGGCTGCCAGTTGATAGATATGAGTTCTCATGGTTCATAATGAGTGTTGGAAAATTAAAATTAAAATAATCCAGGCTTCATCATTGCAGAGGGTGAGCTGTCTTCTCTTATAATACTGATTTATATTGATGTTTTTACACATTGCTCTACTTGCTATTCAGAGAAAGAGTGAATACTTCTTGTGTCCAAATGGATCAGAGCTAATGAGTTCCAGGTTCTTAAATATATTTACCTGTCTATCTCTTGTCTATCTCAGTGGGAGATTGAATATTTAGATGTCTAAATATTTCTGTGGATCCGAGTTCAGTGCCTTGCTGGAAAAACTGAATTTCAGACTTCATTTTCCTCCTTTAGTCATGGTAAAATAACTCTTCCAGGCTAAATCTTGCTTCAAGTTAATTAAATAGATGTTAATATTCCTGGTGACTTCAGAGGAAGAGAGATTCAACTCAATATGTAATAAAAATGTAAGAGTAATATTTTTTCTAATATTAATTTAGCTCAGCTTCATGAAATGTCTAATACTTGGTGGTATTTTTACTTCAAAAATATGTCTGTTTAAAGCTACTCACCATGAATTCACCAATTTAAGTAGGTGTGTCATTTACTTCAACACTTTTGAGAAGCTTGAGTATTTATTTACGTAATAAATGCATACTAAATGTCTCTATTCTTTCACACTGACATTTCTTTGCCTCAAGATCTGATTTTAAAAAGTACTTATCTGTCATAAGCTAACTTGAACAGAATGTAAAAATTATGCACAGTTAATAAAGAAACAAAATACGTAATCTGTCAGAGCAGATCCACTGATCCACGCCTTGTAAATCTGAACAGGGATATGTCTGTGTGCTCTTCTGACAGGGATATGTCTGTGTGCTCTCCCCGCTCTCAGAATACGATTTTACTCACCAACTACACATTTTTGTATGTATGTCATGTAAAGTGGGAAACACCTAATGAAATACTGTGATTTTTACATACATTTATTTAAGAAATTGCTAAGAAGTTTGGTTAATTAATAAAAAGTCACAAATGCAAATTATTGTGTAAAGGCAAGCCCCTCATCTTTTCTATGTGGACTACATTCAGGAGGTAGGAGGAGACTTCAGGCAGGAAAGTCACCACGTCTTTCTAAGACTGTTTTTTTCACATATGCAGACCCTTGGTGTTACCTTTCTGGAGCAACTGCCTGGGCCAAGGGTACCAGGCTGGCTTGGTCTGTCATCTGTAAATAGAGGCACCTAGCA